GCAGGAAGGCTTCCCTCCAAGCCCGTTTTCTCACACCTCAAGTATCCCCATGATCCTTTGCTCACTGTTGTTTTGCTATTGCTTCCAGCTTCTGGGGCACAGGCCTGCAGGAAGTGAGGTTGTGGGTATGATTGCTCCCCTACCCTCAGCTCATGCCTCCGAAAAATCATACCAGCAAGGTATGGGGCTGGTGAGGCTAGAAGGGGCCAGGAGGGGCCAGGCCTCCAGAGCCCTGGGCAGTGGGCTCATTGTGGTCCCCCTGTGTCTCTATCCCCCTGGCTCCTGCATCCACACCCTGGAAGCAGGAAGAGCATCAGGGTAGGTTGGGTGTGGTGGCTCACATCTGTAATCCTAGCTACTAAGGAGGTGGGCATCAGGAGGATTGTGGTTCAAGGTCAGCCCAGGCAAAAATTTAGCAAGACCCCCATCTCAACTAAGAAAGCTGGGTGTGGTGGCACATACCTGTCATCCCAGCTAAAAGGGATATGTAAATAGGATCGCAGTCCAGGCCAGTTCAGGCAAGGAAAAAAATGTAAGACTATATTTGAAAAATAACTATTTATCATCTATCATCTATCAATCAATCTATCTATCTATCTATCTATCTATCTATCTATCTATCATCTATCTATCTATCTATCATCTATATCTATCTATCTATCTATCTATCTATCTAATCTATCTATCTATCTATCTATCTATCTATCATCTATCTATCTATCTATCTAATCTATCTATCATCTATCTATCTAATCTATCTATCTATCATCTATCTATCTAATCTATCTATCATCTATCTAATCTATCTATCTATCTATCATCTATCTATCTATCTATCTAATCTATCTATCTATCTATCTATCTATCTATCTATCTATCTATCTATCTATCTATCTATCTATCTATCTATCTATCTATCTATCTATCTATCTAATCTATCTATCTATCATCTATCTATCTATCTATCTATCTATCTATCTATCTATAGCGCAGCAGGGGGAGACTCCATCTGCTGAGGTCTTCTTATGCAGTCTATGACTTCTTGGACCAAAGGGCCAATGCCCGGACATGTAGAACCCAGTCCTGGGAGTGGGTGATGGCATGGGGTTGGGGGCTAGGCTCTGGAACTGGAGGTAGACCTGCCCTCTCTGGGCTTGGGGTGGGATCTGAAGGGATGAAGAAGGGGTCTAAATGTTCCCGGGATTGTGCCAGTCTAAGGTCCCTATCTCCTTCACCCTCTGCCTCCTCAGGGGCTGTGGGTCATGGGGGATACAAGAGGGGGATGCTGAGAGGAGGGCCAGGTGACAGAATCAGGTCGAGGTCATAGAAGATCCTGCTGGGAGAGAAGGGTCTCACGCTCAGAGTAGACCCCACCTCCCATGCTCAGCTAGCACCTGGAGGCTGGGCAAAGGGACCAGTGCCCTGGCCTCAGAGGCCTCGGGATGGGGGGTGGTTAGCCCCTGCCCCTTGACGGGCCATTTCACTCCTTCTTTAGGGAGGACCTTTCTTAGGCAAGCATCTGGCCAATGATGTGAGTCTCCAACCGCCCAGGCCCAGGTGAGAAGGCAGCAGCTGGTACAGGAGGACGAGGTTGGCTGGCGGGCCTCTCCATTTGTCCACCAGCGATGGGCTATAGGATGGAGTTGGGCGGGACCTGGGCGGGCTCCCGCGCTCAGAGGTCATGGGACTGAAGCTATTTGCTCAGCTTTGGCTGCCCCAGGCATACCCAGGTCCTGGTGCTGAGACCCCAGCTGATCCAGGTGGGGACCTGTGATGGTGGGGGACAGGACTGGGAGTATGGAGGCTCAGAGCAGAGGCCTGTCTCCCCAGCTCACTGGCTTCAAGAACAAGATCAGAGGCAAGGGTGGAGAGGATGCCGCCGGGGCTGTGGATGGTGACAGGGGGAAGTCCTCTGGTCCCAGAACCCAGAGGGCAGTACTACTAGGGGCCCATAGCTCTGGGGAAAGTGGGTTTCAGCTTAGCTGGGAGGGAGCCTCAGAATCAGGGGTCACTGTACATCAGGGAAGTACATCTAGCTCTGTAGGTGACCCAGGAGATCACACAAGGGGGTGCCATTTGGGGACTGTGTGTGGCACCCCAGCAGCCTGGTCCCAGCTGCCTTTTATGTCTACCTTGCCAGCTATACGACTGCCTCAGGTCCAAAGGCCAGGCCCGATGCTCTCCTCCAGGGCACAGGGTGCAGCCCCTCTGCTGGGTGTGCATCTGATAGCACTGCTTGCTGGTGCCCTGACTGGGTCCAGGCAACTCTGCAGCCCAAGCAGTGCCAGCATTTCCTCCCCAAGCCTTCATTTTATGTTTTTTTTTAAATGAATTTTTTATTAGGATTCATTAAATGGGGGGGAGTTTATAGTGACAATTCCGATTAGACTTATATTGTACATTAATTACACTACTCCATCGTCTCTCCCCCCTCAAACCCCTCCCTGCCCCACTTAAAGCAATTGCAAGAGATTCTGTTTCATATAGGTACATGAAGTCCATCTGCCATATAGCATCACCTTAATCTCCTTCCTTCACCCACTTCCGCTAGTACTCCCCCACACTGTACCTGTTTTACAGTCCTGCTTTTCATTATTACTATTTAAGTTGATGTTCAAAGTCATTTATGCCTTAACTGGCACTTTCTGAGCACCCAGCAGGGCCACGATTGTGCCACATGCTCCACCACCCTACTGTCCCCTAACCTGAGGGGCACCTGCCTGCCAAGATGGTTCTTGAAGGAGCTCTTGAGTAGACAGGGTGCTGGGTGCTGTTTGGGTTGGCCTGGCTCCTGCAGAGAGATGCCGGAGCAGCGGGCAGGTCAGCTGGGCAGTGGGGTCCAGAGCTGGCTTGGGTGGGGTCCAGAGAGCAGCCTTGTCTGCATTGGGCACCCGGCTCTGCTCTGAGGAGGAGGAGTGAGGCTGGATGCAGCAGGGGCCGGGAGGGAGTCCCGGTTCAGCAGACCAGGCAGGGGTACAGCGACGAGGTGGAGACCAGAATCACCCACCCAGATGAGTTGTCTGGCTGCCTTTATTAAGCACCTGCTGTATGCCTGGTCTATGCTAGGGTTACTGCTCTTATCTTGATTAATCCTGCCCCATGCTCCTTTGAGGAACCCTTTCAGAACTGTCCTTATATCCCAGGCAGGGAAGAGTGGCCGGTGCAGGTTCTGCAGCGAGCCCTGTCAGGGTCTCCTCCTCCTCCAGGCACCTTGGCTCCCAGGTGAGAGAACCTCAGCTTTGGCCAATGTGAGCTCCAAGACTGGCTTCTTCAGGCCAAACCCAGAGCCCACAAGGTGTCACCAAAGGTGGGGAGGGGCCTGTGGGCAGAGGATTGGGTGCCACAAAGCAGGAGCTCCACCTGGCCCCCTGCAGATGCTCCTGGCATCCACTGGATGCCAGGACCTCAATCAGGGAGTCCAATTTGGAGACAAAGGCACGGCTCTAGGGACGAATACTCGTGGACATTGTCAGCCGGGCCGCCAGGCAGCCGAGGCGAGGCCCACAAAGGGCCTGAAGAAAGAGCTGAGGGCGGGGGCCGTGAATGGGCTGCGCTGCACATACCACCGTTGCCCGGGCGACGGCCCTCTCACGGAGAGGTCTGCCGGGCCATTGTCCGGGCCCGCAGGACATGTCACACACCAGATGGTCATGTGCTGTCTAGGTCACTTATAGGGGGACAGAGTGAAGGAATGCAGCCAGCACCGCAGGCCAGGGCACCATCTGTTCCCTCAGACCGCGGGCACCAGGCGGGCATTGAGCACTCGGCCAGCCAGGCCCAGCCTCCACTGCGGCTTTAATTAGCTAATTCCATAATTGGGCTTTATTTCAGGTAAATTGCATTTCACACCCGAGAGGGTCGCAATGGCCCTTCCAGGAGGGAAGCACTTGGGTGCTTGGTGTGCAGTTGAGTACGGCCACGAAGCCGGCCGGGTGCAGGGCCGCGCCCTGCCCAGATGGGCAGCCCCAGCCTGGCCTGGGCGTGAGCCGTGGAGGGCCCTGCCTTCCAGCCAGTCGCCTCCTGGGCCTGCACAAATATTTACCCAACAAGGAGACAACAGCTACTGCCTTGAAGCAACTGCTATGGAGCCCCCAATGCAGGCCAGTGCTGGTCAGGCCAGATGCCAAGACCCTGTGGGTGGGAGCCATGGTTGGTATCTGGGGAGCTCTTGGTAGGTGCAGGCCCGGTGAGGATGTAGGTGAAGAGGGACCTGGGGCCTTCCCCTCCCACAGGGGCCTCAGTGGGCACCTCACATCTGGCTCTTCTGTTTCCACTACTGGTTACTTGCTCCTTCCAGACTCAGAACAGCTCCATCCTTGACATTGCAGATGCCCCTAGTCCTGCTAGCCTGGAATTTGGGGTGGGCTTGGAAGGATAGGAGGGGGACAGGAGGAGGAACCAAGGGGGGCAGACAGCTCCACCCCTGCCCGATGTGTGTCTCTGAGCTGGGCACTGCCTCCAGCCTAGAGGACTGATTGGACAGGTGGATGACTATTGTGTTATCAACAAGGTGTCAAAGCCTTGAAGGGGAGGTGCAAATGTGTGGGCCTCAGGCTCTCTGGCCCACCCTGGTGTCCTCCCACCTCAGGAGGCCAATCCTTGGGGTCCTGAGGAGCAGGCTTGAAAAGACACTACTCCCTGGGGGCCTCCTAGGTCCTGAGTTAAGGGCCAACCGGGCCTGGAAGGGGCAAATGGAGAGGCCCAGGCATGTCTCAGGATGGCCATCCAGGGGTACATCAGTAGTCTTGGTTAGGCCAGGCCCTGGGCCAGGCCCATCTGTCCCAGGGCTCAAGGTCTTCTAGAAGACAAGTAGTGACCACACTATGACCACATTGTCTGGTCAAGGCTTCCAGAGCCTGGGCACAGCTCATAGCCCCTGGGAGGGCTTGGAGCCTGAGCACCGTCTGCACAGGCAGAGCCCATTCAGCAGTCACCTGGGCACCTGCTTCCCACGGAATCACAGGTGTCCGGTTCATAAGGGAGGGCCTTGTGAGGGAGCAGTGGAGACGGCAAGGTGAAGGCTGAGTACCAGCTTGTCCCAGTGTTCCCCTCGATCCCCCTGAATCAAGGCAAGAGCAGCGCAGAGATCAACCCGTGATGCTCCTTGTTTATTAGGAAAAGCCTGCACAATTAGCAATCAAAATCACACTGTGAACCTCATTAAAACACAGATTCCGAATCACCGCAAATTATCCTGATTTCTGTGAGACGTGAGGCCCAGAGGGAGCCATCCTGGGAGAGACTGATGCCTTTTAACACCCTCACGGCTTGGTCACCAGTGGAGGGATGTGGTAGGCTGGGGTTCCTGCCAGTGTGACTGTCCAGTGTGTCTGTCTGGCTGCTCAGACCAGCAGGGAGTTGGGGACAGGGGAAGGGGGTGCTGCACGCAGAGCAGGTAGAGGACCCTGTTCTCCACAGCAGGAGGAGAAGCTGCCTGTCCAGAGTGGGGTGTGAGTGGGGTGGCATTCCCCAGTCAGTGAGGTGCCTGGGGGAAGCCGTGGGGTACTCACAGCCCCCTGCTCCTGAGGTCCACATCTCTCGGAATGAGGAAGCCGAACCTCTGCACGTTTATTGCAGGCTGTCCTGTCGTTGGCTGGGCTGGGCCTGCCCTGCCCTGCCTGCTCCCTGCACGTCCTGGGTTGAAGACTGGGTGAGAGGGACTCACGTACTCTGTCCAGGCTGTTCCTCAGTCTCCCCTCAGGAAACTGTCTGGCTCAGCCAGGATAGGCCACTTTGGCCTGGACCTCGTCCTGGCTATACTTGGGCCAGGTCAGGTGCCCTGGATAGAACCTACCACTGTGACTCAACCACTGTGAGAGCCATCATGATGGGGGGGTACAGCTCAGGCCTGAGAGGGACCCCACACCCAGCCAAGTTCTAGTACCCACTGGTGGGGAAGAGGTGGTCACGGTGAACTCTGCTCAGGCTCGGCTGGGTAGAGTGGCCACAGGGCATTAGGACCTTGGGCTGCCAGGTGTTCTCAGGGTCTTTGAGGAGGTGGCCATGGCCAGGTGGGTGCCCTGTTGAGAGGGAAGTAGAAAAGACCCAATGGGGCCACCCCTGGCCTCCCCTTCTAGGCCCCCACCAACCCCCTTTAGGGGTCCTCCTCGGGGCACCTCCGGGGCACGGTCAGCTGTTCATAGGTGGGCAGGGCGTTGCCAGGCAGGAAGAGTTCAGGGTGGATGGAGCCATCTTCGCCACTGGGCTGGACCACTTGGGCCCTGCTGTCACTGGAGGGGCCTCCGTGGTACAAGGAAAGTAGTTGGTGGAGCATGTCAGTGATGACCACCAGCCTCTGGTCCAGTTGTGTCACCTGAGGGAACAAGAGCAGAGCTGAGTCTAGTGGTGGGGACAGCCTGGTGCAGGCCACCTTAGGGCTCAGGCCAGTGAGGCCAGAGAGAGGGATGTGCCAAGTGTTTGCCGACGCTGTTGTGCACACAGTAGCCCAGCAGATACCGTCTGTACCGCCCTCTGCATGCCCGTGTGTGTGTGTGTGTGTGTGTGTGTGTGTGTGTGTGCGTGTCTGCCTACTGGGGTGTGTGACCTGCATGCTGTGGATCCATGTGTGTGACTATACATACACAGTTTTGGGGCTACAGGGCACTCCTGCTCCTTGGTTCTCCCTCCAGATTAGTGGCTGGGGTTGCTCCTCAGCCCCCTCTGGGGCCTGCTGGCCTCTGCAGCTCTGGAGGCCCCTGGGGCATCCAGAACAGTGGGGCTGGCACCAGGGACCAGGCCCTGAAGTTCTGGCTTTGCTGCAGTCTTCAGCTTTTTGGGCCAGGCTAGGGGGTCTTGGGGATGTGGTTAAAGAGACTGGGGGCCATGTCTGCTTAACCTGGAGGAGAGTTGAAGCCAGACGCCAAGGGGCAGAGCTCATGGGGACTGGCACATGGTGGCAGTGTGAGGATGCAGCCCAGCGGTGCCTGCAGGGGTTCAGGAGGCAGAGGTCTGGGCTCTGCTGGGTGGGCCAGTGGTGGGTACCCATACTGGACTCTGCACCCAGGGAGTTTTCCACTGTTAATTCCCCCAGGCACCTGTTCCTCACTTGGAGACCCCCATGGCTTAGGTTGGTGCCTAGACTGTTCCCAGCCTCCTGGTCTCCACCACACCGATCAACGGCCTGTTCTGTTCTTTGCCCTGGGGTGGTGGCTGTGAAGGGGAGGTAGAGGTAGGGTAGAGGCCTGGGACAAACATGATGCAGAACAGATGCTAAACAGATGATAGACACATGTGGTGGCTGAAAGGCCTAAAAAGGACCTCCATGTGACCTAGGAGCCGGGGCATTAGAGAACAGAAGTGAGGCATGATGGTGGGATAGGGTAGAGCCCAGCCCTGGTGGCAGGAAGACAGAAGAGGTGAGGGTCCTGCATGGGAGGATTGCAACACCCAGGGGCAGACTGAGGGCCAGCTGAGGGGGCTGCAGCCCAGATGGTGACCTCTGCAATGGGGACAGTGTCCTGCGGTGGTTCCCTCAGGGCTGCGATGGTTCAGTAGCTCCTTTTCCTTCCCCATGGGAAGACCTCAAGTGCTGGAAAGATCAGAGACGAGGGTGGGCAGAGAAGCAGCAGGTGGACAGTAGGCCAGAGCTGCCTCAGGGAAAATCGTGGCTTTGGGCTAAAAACCACCAAGGTGACTCAGTCCGGTGCTGACTGCTGGTCCTGGCCAGCAGGGGCAGGTCACATCTTTCCACCTGACATGTGCGTGTCATGGATGAGGTCTGTGCCCTAGGTAGGCCTGGCCCTGCTGCTGACCAAGTAGTTGGGCTGAGATGCTGGTAGATACAGTGGATCAGACCCGTGTTGGCCGGAGGAAGGGCTGCTAGCTTGCTAGGGATGGGTTCTATGGTCACCCATCATATTAGGGACGCTAAATGGAGGGCAGGGGAGAGGGTAGGTGGGGCTGCCTGAGGGACTAAGATGAGAGGAGGGGTCTCTCCCAGGTGAGGAACAGAATGTCTGTCCCAGCAGTCTCAAAGGGGCTCCCTGAGCAGCCCAGGCTTGTGTCCAGTTCTGCTGGCCCCTCTCAGGAGAGTACTTCAGCCTGGGCTTGGGGCAGCTCCTCACTTCCAGAGCTCAGCTCTTGAGATAGCCCTTCAGCAGTGGTCCTGAAGTCTCAGACCTCATCTCCTCCCTCTGGGCTCTGACTGTGGCCACAAAGCCCACGAGCACCTTGACCATACTGAGGGAGCCGCCTCGGCCACACCCAGGCCGCAGAGAGTCACATCTGAGTAGGCAGATGCCTAGAGAGGTGCCATTGCCCTCAGGGAAGAGAGTGCCTACTACAGGGACTGGGCTGGTGCTCCCCAAGAGCCCCTGGGAGGGTTCAGTTTTGGGGATCTTGGAAATTTGATAGTGATTAAAAGGGCAAGGCAATCAAAAGCCCCTTTGTGCCCTGCCTTGACTCACCAAATCAATAACCATAGATGACTTTTGCAGCCTCAGAAGAGAAAAAAGCAATTAGAATAACAGCTAGTTAGAGAGCCCTGTGGCGGCTGGCAATCAAACCCAAGGGGATGGGGGTTCCTGTTTGATGTGGTTATGAATTTGTTTTCAAAAGAATATCTTGAAAAAGAGAGTCTTTCAAAAGAAATTTTTGAAGAACCTGCCCAGCCTTGATCCCCATTTGGGACCCCCGAAGGCTCTGGTCTTATGGATGCTCTGGGCTGCCTCAGCCAGACTGGACAAGGATGGTCAGGCAAGGCCAGGGCCACCTGGGGGTCCTGGAGGGCAGGGGGTGTCTGTGATGCATGCGGGCTGCATCCATTCCCCTAGGGTGGGAGGGGGCCAGCAGCCTGGGCTTCCTCTGGAGTCCTTGCTCAGTGTTCCAAGGCAAGGCAGGCCTCTGATGACAGCCCAGGCCACCTGGGCCCTCCTGACATGTGTCCTGAGGAGCCAAGTGCTATGGGGCCAGTGCCAGAGGTCTGATCAAAATCTTCAGTACTGGGCCTGGAGCAATCAGATACCAGTGGGGCCTGCAGGGAGTTTTATGGAGGGGGCTCCAGGCAGGGTGCACAGGAGCCCTGAGCCCCACGATTGCCCTCTGGCCGGGGCTATTTGGTCTACTCGCACCGACTGGCTCTCACTCACACCCACTCCTCCATCTTAGGAACCAGGAAACCAGGCCTGGGTGGAAAACTGGCTAGAGGCTCAACAAGGCCCAGACAACCCCCTCTGACCTGCCCCAGGCTGCCTGTTCCCCCAGACCCAGGCACACACCACCTCTCCCCAGTGGCTACACTAGGCCTGGATGGGCAGTGGGTACCTCCCATGGCTGCCAGTTGGGTGGCTTCCTTTTTGTACAGGAGGTAAACAAGGCTTGGTGACAGGAGGAGGCCTGCCTGGGGTCACCAGCTGAGAAGAAGCCTTTATTCAGCACCTGTTGTGTGTCCAGGGTTTACGTGTCTCATTTCTACAGCCCTGCAGGGGGACAGCATTAGGGCACCTCATTTCACAGACACTGGGGAGGATGTAGGGAGGGCTTCAGGAGCAGCATGTACAGTGGGGCTATTCTGTAGCCACTGTATTCTCTCTCTCGCTCTCTCTCTCTCTCTCTCAGTGGTACTCAGGGCCTCATGCTTGCTAGGCAGGTGCTCTACCACTTGAGTCACTCTGCCAGCCCTTTTTTGTGTTGGGTATTTTTGAGATAGGGTCTTTTGGACTATTTCCCTGGACTTTGAACAATGATCCTTCTGGTCTCTGACTCCCGAGTAGCTAGGATCACAAGTGTGAGCCACTGGTGCCTGGCTCTGCCATCATCTCTTTCTGGGACTGGCTTCCCACGCCAGTGGGCTTCCACTTGGAGGTATTTCTAAAACACAAATCAAGTCACATCACTGCCCTTTTGGCTCCAGTCCCTCTGTGGCTGGACTCCAGAGTCCCCAGACACACCCCTATTTCCCACGTGGTCCCATCCTCATCTACTTCAGGTCTCTGCTGTTCCTTACATGTGGCAATGTCTACCTGCCTCAGGGTCTTTATCCCTGCTGTTCCACCCTCAGCTTTTGCCAATGTCACCGGATCAGGGGCCACCTCTCTCCCTCTGCCATGGCCCCGCACAGCCCTTTCTTTTCCCAGCCTCTCCAGAGTGCCTGGCATCTCCTTCCTCACCCATTTCTCCCACTAGGACTGGGCTCTTCCAGCCCTGGGCCTCTGCTCATCCTTGCTGTGGCATGAGCTCAGGGACAGACCCAGGAGTGTGGAATGAACCTGACATGCTCGTCCACTGGCATCTCAGCTTAGCAATCCTCCTGAGGATCCTGGTTCTCCTTGCCTGTGACCAATCCTGTCTTCCTGTCTCAGACAATGGCACCCATATCTACAGTGTGACCCAGCTCCAGACTTCCCAGTGCCAGCCCACTCACCTGGGCCCTCCGAGGCACACATCTGAACCTGTCCCTCCTCCACCGCCTGATCCAGGCCTGTCCCTTGTCTGGACAGTGGCCATCGCCCCTGAGTCACATACCTGCACCCCTCATGTTTGTTCCAGGGCAGCTGGCTGAGCTCTGCGCTCTCCCTAAGCTGTCTCTTTCCACAGGGTAGCATCTCACCTCCCTCTGCTGCTTCCTCTCTGAGATGCTGCCTCTGCTTGCCCCTCCTTGACACCTTCTCTTAGGTCTTGAACACATCATCTTAGTCTGCCCCAGGGCCTTTACATTTGCTGTCCCCTCTGCCTGGAAAACCATTCTCCATCACTTTGTGTAACCTCAGCTCACATGTCCAGGAGAGTCTCCCCCAATCTCTATTCCTAAAGTGCCTGTTTATCTCCTCCGGACCCCCCTTCCCTCACATCCCATGGCACACACCACTCACTGCCCGAGTTTATTGATTGACTTACTTGTTGTCTCTTCCCCAAATCTGAGGCCGCTGAGGTCAGCCTGGAACTGCTGAGTCCCTACCCAGTCTTTGAGAGTCTGACACATAGTAGGTGCTTAGTAAAACCATGTGGGCTAGAGCTGGTCCTGCAGAATGAATGGATGAGATCTTGGCTTTTCTCCTGGGGCCCAAGACCATAGTGAGGGGGCAGAAGCCCCCAGGGACCACGCTCTCCCTAGGGAAGCCCTGGGCAGAGAAGCAGAGGCCAGGGGCCAGCACCCGACGGCCAGGTTCATTAATTTGTAAGGATGCTTTGCATGCAAAGGCTTGTCCTCTGATAATCTTTGATTTGTGTGGAGTTGATTTGGAACTACAGATGTGCCTTTAGTGGTCACCCTCGTCCCCCACCAAGGTCAGACAACTCTTTTATTCACTACTTTGCTACACTACATACATACTGGGTCTGGAGGCTGGCCTTCAATTGACTGTCCTCCAGCTTCCA